TTTGTGCTACATATTTTGTCAAAATCACATTTATGAAGTCTACATTCATGAGTTACTGTCTTGCCCTTTTATCTTACATTACAGATTCGAATTGATAAACGATGTGGTCACTTCAATTCTATATCGGTATCATCGCAATGTTCCTGATGGAGGGACCAGTGACTGGTATGTATACTTATACCTTATGCCCCTATTTAACACAGACCACGAATCCCACGAATCGCCAGGAATTGACAAATTTCAGGATTCGTGGTTGAATCGTAATCAGTTCGTGAAGTTCTTAACAGATTCGTATATGTTCGTAGTCAGTTCTTGCAATTCTTGATCAATCGGGAATTCGTGGCAGAGATTTTGTAATAACGATCCTATCAGAAATTTTCGTAATAAGTGCTACTACCGGTTACAAGGGCTACTATCGTACCATGTTCGAGTGAAATCTCTACGTTTCGAGAGTAACTCAAAACTGAGAAAATTATTCCTATAATAATTTCCATATGGTCTGAAGGACATTGTGTCCTTCTCTACTCTAAATATCAAGAACACGAGTCTTATCGTTGGAAAATCTGCTTCTACTGTACACAAACTTCTCAGCTCACGAATGCTTTAAAGGTACACTCCACATGAGGTTACCCTCCAAAATAGATTTTCCCGGGACAATGAGAAATTTTCTCGTACTCTAGAATCATTTGTTTATCCCTCTCTGCACCTGGAATCGACATTTAATGAAATTTATTAAGGCTGACTTTCGCTAAAAATGACTGGTCACTGATTATGACAGCGACCGTTTTTTCTATAAGCTCCAACGGAAATATCATATCAAGATCGTTTCAGGTTGGCACTTTAAATCCGCCACAATCAGCTGTAGGCCACATCACGAAAATGCAACACAGGTTAGTTGTACACTTTACTTTTAGGGTATTAATAAAAAATTAGTGAATTTTAAATAACGCACATTGCACTAACTGGGAACTGTATTCTACTTAACGCCAGAAGGAGGGGTGTCACTAATGGGCGTCCGCAGGGTGGGGGTGGGGGGGGGGGTCAATGGGGTAACTTGTTAGGTCGATCTAAATCTTAATCCCTGGATCGATCTAAATCTCTGGGAATGCACCCTTAGATGCTCCAGACACTTCAACGGGTAAAACTGACACCAGAAGAAAATGAGAGACATGCATGTTATTGATCTTAGGATCAGTATAGTCTCTTTGCATGTGTCAGCCAAAAGTCAGCCTATAACATCGCCTAAATAAGGCGAAATCCTGAATTTCTTGGATCATATTGCACTTAAATGCAAACTACCGTATACAAATGCAAATACAATTTTAGGGTATGTTTCTTTAAATATTCGACTTATGTGATATGTCACGACTGGATGACGAAGAAACATGGACGTGCTACTACTACTAACTATTGCTACNCCTTGTTTATATCTTTATTTTCTGTTTTTTGTCTGTACATTTGACAGCTTTGCTGCCTTGTATTATTTATCAATAAAACAACTTAAAATGCAGAATTAATATTATTTTTATTGTTGTTGTTATTGTTGTTGTAGCTTCTGGTTGTTAACAGTATTGACAATGACACTACACCAGGGGAAGTGACATATTTCCTGGATACAGTTGCTGTAGGAAGGGGTTTTGTTATTGATGGTAAATATTGTAACAGTTGTTTCTGATTTGCTATTTGGTATACTGGCATACTTAAAAAGATGATGCAAGACTCTTTTTTAAACATGAACAAAATTGATACCTAGACCTACTTTCCATTGTTTGGGCCTCAAAGTTCCAGCAGAAGGTGGTTGTACAGTACATGTATTTAAGAGAGAGGCTGAGGGTATTCCACCTGTGAAAAAAGCACCTGTCTGGTGCTGTATGTACATACCCCCCCTCCACACACACACACACACACACACACACACACGTGATATATATATATGTACATTGTGTTAATATAGTTTGGGAAGTGTAACAGATTAAATGAAAAATTGCTTAAACACTTGAATAATTAGAATTTTAATAAACAAGGGAATTGCATATTGGGACTTATCTAAGATTAATGTTCTTTTTTACAGCTTCAGGTGTAACAGGGAACCTGACAATGACCAACAACACATTTGATTATGAAAATGACTTGGATCACTTTTTTAATGTCACAGTTTATGCAAGTGATGGTGTAAATGTGGCTCAGATGGAGTTTGCTTTGACACTGGTGGACATCAATGATAATGCTCCCATCTTTAACCAGACACACTATGTGTTTACAATGCCAGCAGCAGCAAAATCCGGGTACAAAATTGGCAGTGTATATGCTAAGGACATGGACAGCCAGTCTTACGTCACATACAGTATATCTGATACAGGTAAGTTGAACTTCAAACACAGTTTATCGATCAGATACGGGCAAGTCTCAATCCATATACAGTATATCAGAAACAGGCACGTCTCACTGCAGATATAGTATACCAGACACAGTCAAGTACCAATACAGATACAGTATATCAAATACAGGCAAGGCTCAATTTACAAATATCAGAAGCCAAAAAAATTTGCTAAGGGATACCAGACAGCGTACTGTATATATGATAAAGGCAACTTGGACTCACTTTACATGGAGTGTTTTAGATATAGGCAAGTCTCATCTCACATACAAATACCACAGTGGATTATAATTCCTTATTTACTTCCATTGTATCATACAGGGCATCAGATACATGCAATTCTTACCTACATACCAGTACTGTCTGTATATTAGATACAGGCAAGTTCTACCTCACATGCTGGGTTTGTTATTAATTCAGTTAAAGTATAAACTAAAACTCTTTACACAACATACTGGTATTATTTGATATCAAAGTAAATGTTGTAATAAATTGATATATTTAATTTCTAGTCTCCTTTGCCATCGATTCTTCGACTGGTCTCATAACCAGGGCAGGGTCAGCTTGCATCTATGGTAATGTGACTCTCACTGTCTCTGCAATGGATGGAAAATATACTTCTGCAGCTGAAGTGAGCATATTTTTATTATTTTTTTGTTTGAATATTTTATATTTTTGGAAACTTATGCCATATTTGCATGTATAAGTGTGTGATTATATCTTTTTTTATGTACAGACACAGATGTGTCTGTACATATAGCCATCATCTGCGTCTGTCGTCGCCGTCGTTGCCGCCGTCGCCGTGCACTTTTACCGATAACACGATAAGTGGAAAACTGTTTTTTCTTTTGGCTTGAAACTTACAGAAATGATGAATATTCATAATACGCAGGTCAAGTTCGAAAATCAGCATGATCGGGCCATTTTGGGGGAAGTTATGCTGTTTTTTCACTTTTTTCAGCATTTATGTAGCACCGATAACACGATAAGTGGAAAACCGTTTTACCTTTTGGCTTGAAACTTACAGAACTGATGAATATTTATAATATGCAGGTCAAGTGTGAAAATCAGCATGATCGGGCCATTTTTGGGGAAGTTATGCTGTTTTTTCACTTTTTTTTCAGCATTTATGTAGCACCGATAACACAATATTTGAAAAACCGTTTTACCTTTTGGCTTGAAACTTACAGAACTGATAAATATTCTTAATTGTAGGTCAAGTTCGAAAATCAGCATGATAGGGCCATTTATATTGAAGTTATGTAGTTTTTTCACTTTTTTCAGCATTTATGCAACACCGATAACACAATATTTGAAAAACCATTTTACCTTTTGGCTTAANAAGTTATGCTGTTTTTTCACTTTTTTCAGCATTTATGTAGCACCGATAACACGATAAGTGGAAAACCGTTTTACCTTTTGGCTTGAAACTTACAGAACTGATGAATATTCATAATACGCAGGTCAAGTGTGAAAATCAGCATGATCGGGCCATTTTTGGGGAAGTTATGCTGTTTTTTCACTTTTTTTTCAGCATTTATGTAGCACCGATAACACAATATTTGAAAAACCGTTTTACCTTTTGGCTTGAAACTTACAGAACTGATAAATATTCTTAATTGTAGGTCAAGTTCGAAAATCAGCATGATAGGGCCATTTATATTGAAGTTATGTAGTTTTTTCACTTTTTTCAGCATTTATGCAACACCGATAACACAATATTTGAAAAACCATTTTACCTTTTGGCTTAAAACTTACAGAACTGAAAAATATTCATAATACGCAGGCCAAGTTCGAAAATCAGCATTATAGGAACATTTTCTTGGAAGTCAGCTGTTTTTTCACTTTTTTCAGCATATATGCAACCCTGATAACACAATAAGTGAAAAACCGCTTTATTTTTTGGCTTGAGACTTACAGAACTGATGAATATTTATAATACGCAAGTCAAATTTGAAAATTGGCATGATCAGGGCATTTTTATAAAAGTTTTGCTGTTTTTACACTTTTTTCAGCATATATGCAACACCTATGACATATTTTAAGGAAAATCGATTGGCCAATTGTCTTGAAATTCACAGTAGTGATCAGTGTTACTGAAATACAGAATAAGTTTTGAAATTAAGCTTGATCAGTAAAGGTTTGGTGAAGTTATATGCCTTTTTTTGTATATAAGTTTTTTTTTTCCTCAAATTTAATTCTCCAGCATGTTAACAGTCTCATTTTTTGTACTAATTAGATATGTTAACTTGTTCTTTTGACATTTTCTGCATCTTAACAACATTGTTAGTTGATTATATAAAAATGATGGTAAACCTGATATTGTGTATTGTGTAATAAGTGTCAAAAATGAAAAAAAAAAAAAAAACACATATCTTTACAGTTTGTCAGATTCAACCATTCACTATGTTCAGAATCTCAGAATGGAGCAAGTTGGACATTTATAATTGTTCTATTGATATTTTTGCTTTGACAACATATTTTTTGATTGATCATATAAAAATGACAGTAAATTGATTATTTTGCTTTATGTAACAAAGGTGTTGAAAATGGAAATAAACTCTTTCAATACAGTTTTCTCTTGTTTACATTTTGGGATTTTCAAATTATGACTCTGAACTCTATGGGCTAGTCACATTTTCTGAATATCCATGATACTTTTATTTTATTATTAAAAATTTTATGGTTATTATGCTGTTAAGCATTGTGTAATATTGTATCAAAATTAAATTAAACCCTATTCTGCGCACTGCCTCCGTAGTGGCGGTGAAAGGAAAACCATGTCACTTGCTCTTCTCACACTTACAGGAAAGAAACATAGGACTGAAATACAGCTTAAGTTGAAAAATTGTCTTGTTAGTTAATTGTTTGGAAGTAATACAGTTTTTTGTGAAAATTTTTATCTTTCACATGTTGCAATTTTCAATGTGGGACTTAGAGCTCCCTTGGGCATGAAGCCCAGTGGTAATCAAATTTTTTTAATGTCCATGTTTTTAATAGTAGATATTTTAAAATTGGTGGTATTTAATTAGTTAATCATTATGTAATGTTGCATCGAAATTGACAAAAAACCTACTTTGTGCTCTGCCACCATTAATATTATGTAAAGTGTTACTTTCTATTTTTATGTACAGACACAGATGTGTCTGTACATATAGCCATCATCTGCGTCTGTCGTCGCCATCGTCGCCGTCGACGCCATGCACTCAGCGATAACACGATAAGTGGAATACCGTTTTACAGNTAATCATATGACATAAAATTTTATCTACTTATCTTAATAATTAAGAAATATATTAGTTTATGTAGAACGAAAACAGAAATCCCAACATGGGAAGGAACCAGACAATACGTTAATTATTACAGAAATATTTGTTTATATTCTTTATATATGTATACCGACCAAAAACTGTCATCATTTTTCAAATATTGAGACTTTCATCATGTGCCTTTGGTCTCTCATGGTCCTGAAACTTATTGAAGGGGTGGATTGAGACCATCTTCTGGGTCTTCTGGAAGACAGGTTATTAAGTTTATATTGACTGGTATCTATTTTTTTCTGTTGGAAGACCATCAAAATGGAGGATGGATCAACATAGATACTTCGGAATACTGTCAGAAAATATCTCAGGGTCCGCTCCTGTTATTGACCATGTTACCTGTTGTGCATGATTAAAATTCAGTGTTGACTGACAGTGCTATTAAAGCATTATTTATTATTGCATCAAAATTGATAAAATGACCTTTTTTATATCTTTCTTTTCTGATTTTTGTCTGTACATTTGACAGCTTTGCTGCCTTGTTTTTACTATTCTTACAAGAATGATTCTTAGGATTGACTTACAGCTCATATTAGAGAACCAGCTCTATTGGATTATCATTTTTATTAAATTTATGAATTTTTTTGTGAAATTTTCATTTTTCTCATTCTGGCACTTTCTAATTGTAAACTTGAACTCTGATGGGCCTGGAGCCTTATGCTTTTACTTTCTTCAGTGTTACCTGTTGTGCATAATTAAAGTTTGATATTGACTGTGCAGTTAAACATAATGTATTATTGCATCAAAATTGGCAGTCTCCTGTTTTATTTTGTGCATTATTGTTTTCTGCTTTTCTTAAGGTGTGACTTATGGGCCTGAAGACCTTTGATAGACAAATTTGTGTGGTCAGTCTGTAAATTCCCCTTGGGTATTCACTAAGCTAATTTCAGTGCTATAAACTCATTTGCCTAATTAAGCGGCCATTAAATGAAATTTCATAAAGCACACTTGTTGATATTTCCCTATAAACTCCCAAAGGTTAAGCTCTCTGCTAGATAACATAGTGTCCATAATAAGGAAGCAGTGAATAGCAGCTTCATTGGAATTATATTTTTGTTGTTTTGTTTTTAATTTTTTTCTCCAACACTGGCATTTTTAAGATGTGATTTTTAACTCCCATCCACCTGAGGCTCTGCACTTTTTCAGTATTTCCACATAAGCAGTTGTATTGGTATTTATGTCTTTAAACACGCTGTAATATTATTTTATGCACTGTCATCATTTTTCATATATTGGGACATTCATTATGTGAATTTTAACTCTCATGGTCCTGAAACTGTAATCTTATTGAAGGGGTGGATTGAGACCATCTTCTGGGTGTCCTGGAAGACAGTCAGATTTTAAAGTTTATATTAACGGGTTTCTGTTGGAAGACCATCAAAATGGAGGATGGATCAACAAAGATACTTTGGAATACTGTCAGAAAATATCTCTGGATCTGCTCCTGTTATTGACCATGTTACCTGTTGTGCATGATTAAAAATCAGTGTTGACTGACTGTGCTATTATAAGCATTTATTATTGCATCAAAATTGACAAAATAACCTATTTTGCATCTTTTTTTTTCTGTTTTTTGTCTGTACATTTGACAGCTTTGTTGCCTTGTTTTAAGTTAAAAAGCCATTTGTAAGCTTCCCGAAAAAGAGCATTCAGGTTTATAGTAGTGTCAGTTTTTGGGAATACTAATATAAGATGTATAATAGTTGCAAGAGATGTAATTTGGTCAATATAATTTCATGGAATCAATCCATATATGTTTCATTTCATAAACATGGTTATTGTAATAATAATTTAGAATTTTATGAGTGTTTATATGCATGCAGTTAAGTGTTGCATACTTTATTTTGATCTTGAAATATTTTCCCATCATTTTGGTCATTTCCAGGTTGTAATCAGTGTGACCTCAGAAAATGCATATCCTCCAGTGTTTAACCAGTCAGTTTACAGCTTCACACTGGACAGAATAGAGGTGCACAATGATATTGATCTCATACGTTCAAATATGACTCTCAAGGCAACAGATGATGATAATCAGGGAAGGTGCATCAGTTCTGTGGCCAATGGAAATGGAGTTGTGACCTACAAATTTTTGGTTTATGGTAATTCGATTTAGAAGTTATAGTTACAACTGAAATTTATTTGAATTGTTACTAATACTAGTTAATACACTAAAATTTAATATATTTAATTTTTTTTTGTAATTCATTTAGTAATTATCAGTAATTCATGTACCCATGTAATTTTGTTATTAGAAAATACAGTTTTTGAATAATAAGTATGCATATGTGTGTGTGTGTGTGTGTGTGTGTGTGTGTGTAATTAAGGAACCATTCATTAAGAAATGAATAGATTTCTGTTACAGTATGCATTTTGTTAAAAATACTGTACAATAATCATGTATTTTCTTTCGTTTCAGATATATTTTATTTTACAGAATCTGGATCTATTTTAATTCTTAAGGACAAGTTCTTGGAGTATGACAAGCCCACCGTATCATTGACAGTTGTGGCCACTGACAATGCTATAAAGAACAGAAAGACAGGGACCACCACTTTAGTCATAAAAATAAGCAACCAGAAGCCGGTCTTCAATGACAGTCAGCAAATGGTGACTTTATCAGCAGATGCAGTGAGTAACTGACCTCAGTTATGTACACTGTTCTATGTGTCATATACACATGTAAACTCGTGCAAGCACTCATGCATGTGTAGATAAACAGATTTTATGTACAGATGCATATACACAGGTGCTGTCTTGAGTAAAAAAATGAAATAAAGATATGAATATTTTATAACCTGCACATATTTAACATGTATAAATGTATTTGGCAGTATATTGACTATAGATTGGATTTATTTGTGGAATTAAATTTAATTTTCCAGTTTTTAAAAAAATTCTTGCATTCAGTGGGTTTTGCTAAAGAGTTAAATCATACTATTACTTCTTTGTCATAATTTCTAATTTAGGCACCGTTCACATTAAAAATCCAAAATCCAAAAATCCATTGGGAGTATCTAGTGATCACAGTCTGTGCCCTGAATACCCCGCAGCGTAATTAACTAGCAGAGCGAGCAAGTTTCTTCCAAAGCTGTAATTAAATCTTGGTTGCACTGGATTCTGATTCTGACACCTGGACGCATGCGCAGTAGTATCTCTAAACTGTGGAGTTCATCAGTTTACACTCATATCTGTCATGTGTATATGGACCTTATCTTCTTTGTATTGTTGTTGCACAAAATCCACAAACACATTTTTCAAAGCAACTGCAACTGCCGTTTTCTTTCTCTCTAACTTATTAAAATAAAAATTTTTGAAAACTTAATTAATTATTTTCAGGATGTAAACAGTAGTGTGACAGAAATTGAGGCAGTGGATAAGGATGAGAATTCAACCACACTCTACAGCATTGTTAGAGGGGATAGCGATTATTTTAAAATAGACAAGTATACTGGTATTTTACAGTTGAAGAAGAAGCTACCTCAAAGCAATAATGACTCCTATATGAATGTAAGTTGACTACAATAACCATCTCTGGTCATATGTTGTCCGTAATGCACCAATAAATCACAGAAAAAATGTCACCAAACCTTAAGCACATGCTAAGACCAGAAAATATTTCACTAAAGCTTAAGTTTAAAGGGAAATTCAATGGAATTTTCCCACCAAAATTGATTTTCCTGGGTAAATGTAAGCAATTTTCTCCTACTCATATCTGCCCAGATCATTCCAGGCATGTACAATGGGAGACGTGTCTGGTCTAAAGAAAAATACTGGATCTATTCCTGCTGCAGGTATGCTTGTGCCATCCTTGCAGTATGGGGATCGGCATTGTCTGCTGCTGCAGTAGGGGCATAGGGTTAGGTGTTGATGCATGAATGGAAAAATCACCAAAAGTTTTGTCAAGAAATTGCCACTTATGCCCGCCAAAACCATAACACTGTGCACATGGCAATAACCAATGACATGAAACCTGTCCGGATCGTACAGCCATGGCATAATGTCAAAATGGAATTCAGTACCCAAAACTTGGTTTTCTGATTTCAGTATCCACTAGCATTGATTGCACACAACTGAATTATGCAAGATTTTGTCCAAAATTGTGTCCTGATGAGATGTGTGAAAGTCAAAATATTGTCTGGAATCACTTAACCGTATCAGTAGTCTACTGCAGGACTGAGATTGTGTTTTGTCACTGAGTACTGTGGCCATACTAACATGTGCATATTTGGGCATTCATTTTGAAGCACTGTGGTCAAACCAAAAACTTGCATTTCCTTTTTTTTTTTTTTTTGGCTTGTATATATGCATTTCAAGCATCTTTAAATTATTTATTTTATAACACATGATGTTGAATGTTCAGACAGATCTATGTATGCATATATGTGTAGTGATGCAGAAAATGTTGAGGGATTCAGTCTGTACATAATTTATCTGTCTGTATATGTAGAGACTAGAACTACTTCAAATGGGCACAGCTTTGAAGTTGTTTAACAATTCACTGAAAATTAAGTACCAGTTTCAATGCTCTGTCAATCATAGGCTGCAATACTGATTTTCAGGTGGTAGTAGAAGCCAGGGACCCTGTTTTGGAAGAGGTCGATGCTGATCTTGATTTCTATGCCAGCAATCTTGATGTGATCATAACAATTGTACAACCAAATAAAAACTTATTTCCTCCAAAATTTCAAAGTAAGTAGAGGAGTATGCAAGTACTGTATTGAGGTGTGCTCCTGGGAACCTATAAAAGTTGAGAACTAAAACAGTATTTGAATCATGATAAAGATACCAAAAGAAAACTTTACTTTAAGCTCTGGTATGAATTGAACAATTTTAAGATTGGTTTCCTTTAAATGTTAAAAGATTTGGAACACAGTTTGCTGTAAAGAGTTATAATTTTTATTCAAAACCACACAAAAACAAGCACACATGCATTTCAAATCTTGGTCAGGTGAACCACTAATCTCTATGGAATGTGACATACAGTTTATTTTGTTTACGTCAATTGAAGGTTGGTCCTTTTTATGTTTCAGCTTTTGACGGAAAGAACATTTCCGACACAATAAATGAAGAACCGAAAGCTGTGTACTACAATGGGATAATAGGATCCATACATGTGCATGCTACAGATGGCGATGACCCTAGCAAGCCACAAGGGCAGCTTGTGTATTCCTTGGAATACAACTGCCATAAATTAAAATATCTTGACCAGTCCTTTGTGTGGGTGAGTTTATTGGTCTTATGAGAACCTTTTTGATGGTTTGAGAGAAAGTGTAACTTTATTCCTCCCTGTCCCTCCAGCTGCGTGCTTGAGGAAATAATAATAAACACAGTTGTCCGTCCATTTTTTAGTAATTACATTGATTATGGTCCATTCTCTGTCTTTTACACATGCCTTTTCAACCTCTCCTATAAGTTTGCTCATGCCTTGATCTTTAAGGATAATTCCCTTTTATATGAACTAATGAGTTTATTTGATAATGGCATCTTAATTATAACATTGAAGAAGTGCTGATACAGTAATATGTATTGATAGTTGTATAAGAAAACTACTTGAAACTGTTAACTGTATAAAACACCTCAACCACACCATCCTGACCAACTTTACATACCCCATGTCACCTCACCCAGCCTCACCCTGCCCAACTTAACCCTCCCAAAACAGCCTGTCCTCACAGTCCACCTTGTCCAAGCTCATCTCAGCACATCCAACTCACCATAATACACCTCATCTCACCCATCCCACCTTACCCCACCTTACAACTGCATCTTATCTTAACCCACTCTGATCACCCTCCTCCTTCTTGTCCCACCCATCCTATATCACTCATCCCACCCTACTCTACCATACCTCAGCCCATCCTAACCCACCAGACTCCATCTTATATATATTACTCATCCCACCCTAATCTACTGTACCTCAACCCACCTTGATCCATCATACCCCATCCTGTCCTATACATCCTTTGTCATGTATCCCACTCCACTGTACTAAGCTCAACCCACCCTGATCCACCATACCCATCCTGTCCCACCCATCCTCTTATGTCACTCATCCCACCCTACTCTACTGCTTTCAACCCACTCAAAAAAAAAAGATGGAATCACTTTTGATCATGAGTAACACATGGATGATAGATGGAATATTTTATTTTAGAACATCACTCAGAATGCCAGTAATGGTACCATCCAACACCATGGCAATATAACTGACCTTCCTGTGATGTGTTATTTAAATCTGAATGTGAGGGACAATGGAGTGGTGGTTAAATATTCAAGGTAACACATCATCTTAAGAGATCATATATTATTTCCACTTGGCTGATAATGTATTAGATAAGCTCTTCTGGTGGAAAGGAAGATAACTCTTTTCCTTTCAGTAATATTGTATGTCTTCATTTGTATAGGGTTTAAGGGGGGATGTACCCAGATAGGGCTTAAAATCACATTTTTATAGATCAAATCAATTGTAAGTCTTTTAAGAAAAATCCCCAAACCCCTTTTGTAGTACTTTGTTCAAGTGTTATAATATCACTAAAAGCATGTTTATAGCTGTCCAGGTGCCTGAGAAAATCAGGAAACCGAAAATGTCTTTGTGCCAAAAATCCCAATATTACATCACACAATGAACTTGTGTTTCAAGCATAATTACATTACATGTTTTGATGATGCACGGAATGAATGCAACAGAAATAAAAACGCTAAGACCTTTAATTTAAGAAAAAAGGAAAGTTTGGCGTAGTCAAACGACATTTTATGGCGACAACAATCTCCAGAGAGCTTATTTATGCACATGTGCATTCTGCACATGCTCAATTGTGCCCTAGAGGGGTCATCTCCTTTGAGGCACATGTTGCTACTTATACCATGGGGCATCACTGCCTGGCCTCAGTTTGCTTGATTCATTCTGTTCACGAGCATGATACAATTAAGCTACAAGTTATCTCAAATCTGCAACTGAAATCTTCAGTTCAAAAAATTTCATTGTGGGGGCCTCTTTGCAACCCCACAAATGAAATTTGTGCAAAATTGTTGGTAAATAATAACTTTTGCTGACTCGTCGCATCATAATTTTTAGGATGATGAGTCTCATTGAATATTTGATATATAATTTTTATCCCTAAGGCCATAACATTTAATACACGCAACAATTTGCTACATTGTTATTATTGTTAAAACGATTAGGATAGAGGGGTTATATAATAAAAGCGGCCTGGTTTGGCCAAATCACAAACAAACAATATTCCTTGTTACCTTCTTTCTTGCTATGAATGAGACTATAAAAGTTTGTGGTACACTGAGATGGAGGAGACATAAATTTCTAACCTACAGTCCTACCTTAATTGGCTGCATGTGTAATTCTAGTACAAATTTCAAGCTACAGGGAATGATGAGTATCTTACTGTTTTTTTTTTTAATTAGTAAAATTTTTATGTCAAATACCATTGTTTTTTCAATACACTTTATGTTGAACTGCATATTCACATATGCAGTTCATAAAAAAAACTCCCCAGTGCTGGCACCAGTAAATATGCCGTTGCTGTGTTTACATACATGTACTGTCCAGTGCCATTTGTAACAATTCATGCCTCCATCACAAGAATTACCTGCTGTTAGTTCTTTGTTTATTGCTGGCTTTTGAAATAAGTGTGACGGGAATTAGATTATGAAAAAGTGATTTATTTGGACCCTTGTTAAGGCATTGAGAGGTCAAGGTGGCAGCGAGAAGTCAATATAGAAGTCTTGGAGTGAGAAACGTCTAAAAAAATTCAGACTTGGGGGAAGAGTCCTTAATAGATTTTGATAAGTCATGTAGCAGTGACTCTGAGACAGCAAAGATGATGTACCTCTGGCTATGAGTCGTCAGAGAGCATCCATCCTCTGACTTGGAGCTTGATTAATAGAAAATGCTTATGTTATCTAGTCTAACAAAAGTAAACCACTGAAACACATATTTCCATAGCTACCATTATGTATGCTTGAATAAACTTAATTAAATTAATTTCCTGTGTGGTACAATACCTGGTGGCGGTATCACTGCATTGATCCTCTAGTTTCATATGGTCAGTGAATCTTTATCTGGTGTATCCAATATGTATTTCTTTTTTCAAATTAGGAAGACCATTCCACTGCTCATCTATGAAGAACCAGGACCATCTACGACAACTGAAGCACCCACGACCACAGAGGGTGACACAGTACGCAATTCAACCTGCCCATCCAGTAATAGTTCTGATACATATACTGGTACTTATAGTCCCCAGCAGGGTGTGAATATGGCTGCAGGTATGAACAACCATCTGATTGTCGATTTTAACCTCTTTTTTGTTATCTAATGAATTAAGGGCTTAAAAGAATATCTAAGATGGGACAGTAAGTACATACAGTGTACATGTACTAGTATAATCAACTGCAGCAATTCTGCTATATTGGTCCCAGTTGCCAACAGTAGCTGGAAATATTTGTGGTGAAAAATTTTATTCTTTTTATACATAATGAATATTTAAACAGGCATTGGGAATGTGTAAAACTTATGTACAAGGAAAGTTGAAAGCCATTAAAATGTGTACAGAAGTTATATCAAGTGAAGTCAATAAAGAATAACATAATTTGCATTGAACTGGATTGGTTTTATATCAACTTTATTGGTAAATAAAACCACCAATGAAATACTATTATGTTGTGTGAATACCATATTTTGCAAATGGGCCATGTCTAAACTTATTTTTATTTCTTTCTAAACAAATTTAACATGGAATGGCATTTCACAAATGTAAAAATTACCAATTTTCTCTAAGACTAAAAAATTAAACATGAAAAAATAGCTTAAAATGTCAGTGTGAAACTTTTTCAAGCTGCAAATGAGTTCAAGCTCTCTCTATATAATTAATGTTTCATACTAATATAAAAACCAATGCTTGTTAAGTGCCTTGCTTGTTATGTTGCATGACTGAGGTGTAGCTTATATTCAAAATCTAAAAATTTCAATGATTTTTTTTCAGTTGGTACTTTGGCAGCTGTAAATGGTATACTCATTATTTTGCTGATCTTAAGTTATTGGTGAGTTTATACTCTGCTGTTGTGTAGATTTATCTTATACAATAATTGACTATGGCTTGTAAAGCACTCCAGGTTGATAAAATATCTTATTTTAGGTCAGCAAAACAAATTTGACCAGTATTGTCCAAAAGTCAGAGTTGATATATTTAATAATATTAATTCTTTTATGGTCATTTAACAGTGTACATTTGACCTAACATTGCCTCAAAATTTAGTATCAAGTATGCACAACTGATTGTGACGTCACAGAACTATGGGGTTGGGGCATTGCATGCTGGTTGCCATATTATGCAACAATGGGGTAGGGGTATCAAAATATATTTGCCTTTCTTATTTTTGGCAGAGAATATGCAGACCAAATAAAATCCATGTACATTATATAATATGAAAAATTTACAACAACTGGTATTATATAAAGTCATTTTAGCAAATTTTGGCTAAGGAGGTATATACCCTTAACAGGTTTTGTATCTTATCAAATGTTTTCATTTAAAATTATTTCCCAATTAAGAGTTCACATCAAAGGATGGAGGTTAAGTATAATTTCATTATTTTAGGAAAACATTGAAGAAATGCAAGAAACCCAGCTTCAAACTAAAGCGTGAAACCACATTCACTCCATCTGAAGGGGACACTGGATATGATGTTCATGTAAAAAGATCACAAATATACTTATTTATTCATCTGTTTATCTTTCTTTGTTTTTTTATTTGTTTTTTCATTTATGTTTATATTTATTTATCTTTAAATGCAACAAATTTAATATTAATTGAAGGGCACTTAAAATTTAGTTATCCATAATTATCATTTTGATTAATCCAAATGTGCTCAAGCTGTATAAATGTATATATGGCAGACTTAAATTTCTCTTATTTTATTGAGAGCATGCACACATTTTTAATTTTAATTCAAAATCAATTTTTGGTATTTATTACAGAGCATGTTCCCAAGTGGTGATTATAGCTATATTAAAGAGTAAGTATTTTGCATTTTTCTTTATCTCCGTCTTCATGTAGAATGATCAAGCTCTGTGTGGACTTCAGTTAAGCTGATTGCACTCAGCATGAGTCCCCAGAGAGTTGGATCATTCTACATAGACTAAAAGTATTTATGGGCCATAATCGCTGCCTTCCTTCTTTTGGTGTTGAGTTGTAGTCTACTTCCTCTTTTGACATATACACTGACATACTCACAGGCACATGCATATGTTACTATTACTTTACAGTATGTAACTACCAGGTATATACTAGTACTGTACTAATTATATACACACACACATGCACTCTCTAGAATATACATACAGGTATGCAGCACATGCACAATTGCATCTAAACGTATATACTGTAATACACAGAGAAAAAGATACCGGTAAGTCTACATGCTTGCTGTGTAAAAGGTGCTGGAGGCCCCCTTGCATGGCTACATTATAAACACCACCATGATGGAGATATGTCCCAGTCCATCAGATATAATGATGTGTCAGTCAAGGTGTTGCTATGGGAACTTTATTATCACTGTTTTTCCATTTTTCCTCAACAAAATAAAGTAGTACATGGGTGTTACACCTTGATCTCAGCTCTGGTATATGGTATGATGATGTATACAAGAGAAAATGTTCTGATAATAGTTAACCAAGATGCCCTCAAAATTCATGATAAAATTATTTTTCATATTTTCAGTGTGGCACCAAATCCACCTCCAAGACCCCAATTCACATTACCAAAGCTGAAAAATCCTCCAGGTGGTAAAGGCAACCCTCTGCAGACTGATGACGGTGATGTCAACAAAAGCTACCTAAGTCTAAGAGCTCCAGACAGTAGTGCCGAGGGTTACAAACACCTTGTTTCTAAACCAAATTACTCTGTTTATGCTGATAGATATGGATCTGATGAAGCTGGCAGTGCTTCTCGAGTGGGATCACAAATTTCCCTTCAAAAAGAAAAACATTTTGTGGAAGATGAGTCTTGGCAGAGAGCCACCTACAGGCAAGGAAGCCAAAGTCCTGGGAGACAGAAAACACAGACAGACCCAGTTACAATGTCTAGACCAAGCAAAAGTGGATCATCAATAGGCCAAACTGTAGTTTTCAGTGGACCTATTAACATAACCAACATTTCTCAGCCTAATCGTACTGCCATTCTACCTCCTCTTCGTCAAATGCCTAAGATGCTCGACAAACACAAACAAGGGGGAAATGATGAGAAATCTGCAGATACCTCCTTGGAGGATGGTGCACCACAGGGAGAAGCACAATCAAGCATAGAAGCAGCTAGTGAAAAACTGGCTGAAGCTCTTTCAAATAAAATTGAAAACAGCCAGGGAGAGATGTGGTCAATAGACCAAGGACATCTCCATGAATTATCCCATGGCAGTAAAACAATAATGGAAAACATCTACGAAAAAGAATTTCCTGGTACAAAGACAAAGACTGTCACAGATGAAATAGAGCATAAACCAGCACTTGACAGCTCTACCATCCCTCTCAGCAGCCAGCCTGTGAAAACAGGTCAAGGTGACCATTCCCTTAGTCATGTGGAATCTCAAGAAAATGACTGTAAGTCCGATGAAACCATTGACGATATTGATATAGAAGAGACAGAGGCAAGTCAAAATGGTGACAGTGACCCACTGCCAAGCTATCCATCTGCCACGCGTCCAAATAGTTCAGATGTAGTTACAAGAAGAGAAAATCAATATGATTTACCACCAAAATCAGGCAGGCTCTCTATTGCCACCCATAAACCATCCCAATATGAGCCAAACCTTGTAGCTCCAGAGAATAATCCTCCAAACTGTCAAGAAAAACCACATCCACCAAGATGTTTCCTAGAAAACGAGAAACCACAATCACCAACAAGTTTCAAAGAGAACATAGGTAGTTCACTGGAATCTGTGAATGTTCCAGAGTTGGAAAATCTTCGCCCAGGTAGCGCATCAAGCACTACATTTACTGTTATCTCAGATGATGGTGCTGTTCAGTATGGTAAGAGGCGAACTTCTCTAGCTTCAAGTGAAATAGACGCACATATACCCATATTGGAAGACTCTAAAACCCATACAGAGAATTCTTGGAAACTGAAGCCCAAAAGAAAAGTGGCACCAAGTCCTTCAGACCCGGTGCATTTTGAGCCCGGAGAGGCATGGAATATGAGCAATTTAGACATAGGAAAAAAAGGGGCAGGTGAGGAAATTTTTGTGCATGATGAGCAGGATTTTGAGGGAGCAAGTAGGCCAAGTTACAATGATTTGGAACCAGATTACGAAGACAATAATCATCAGCCATTTGGTGGTGAGACTTCATATCATTCACCAGATGATGGTAGCATCAGAGCCTATGTACCCCAATCCAGTCAAGATTCAGTAACACCCAAGAAAAAGAAGAAAAAGTTGAAAAAGAAAAAGTCAAATTCCACGGAGAAGAAAAAGAAGACTCCAAAAGTGAAGTCTACTGAGGGTTTTGGAGAGTACACAAATCAGTGGGAATCCACATTTTGAATTGTTTCATACCCCTGTAAGACATTATCTCTTTTGTGACTTATTACTTGTATGTAGTTATTGTAAATCACCTGTATATTTTACATAAAACTTTGCAGTATGTGTTTACATTAAACCAACAGTAGCAAGACTGTAGCTAGAAATGTCAAAAGGGGTCCTTTTTCTGTAAAATTAATGTAAAATTTTTACAAATTTGAGAAGTGGCATAGAACTTGGTTCAGAACAGATGTTTTCTGGCCTTAGGGGCAGTTCTTTCTTACTCCCCAAACCCCCTGCTTTTAGGCAGGGGAAACCAGCCAGAGTCTCATGTATCAAAGTTTGGCACTTTACAGTGTTTTCTTTGTATATATTGATTGATACTATATTATCAGTATATTATCAATATTTTATATTTTTAATTACGGCTATAATAACCATAAAGAATCGTTGTACTCGATATTTAACACATTTTGTAAATAGATGAAGGTGTTTAAAATACAGAATGAAAAAAAAAAAATAAATTGTAAATGCACAATAAAAAAAAAACGATTGTTTGAGAATGATATCCCTGTAATAATAAGATAAAATGTAATAATTGTAAAGAGTACTCTTTTTTGTCTTTTGCAGAAATCTGAATAAACTTTAGGTTTGTGCTTTTTTATCACATATATATTATACAAACATGCTGCACTTCAATGTGTATCAAACATGATTGCAAGTTGGACAGTGAATCGTTCCAAGTACATGTACTAATTACAAAGAAATATTGCATTACATTACTCAATAAACTGCTACGAAACACTTTGTTGCTTTTCTGTTGTAGTTACACCATTATTGGACAGAGGCTGTTTGATAGTATATCATATTACAGGGGCAGATCCGTAGCTATTTTCTGACAGTGTTCCAAATTATCTTTGTTGATCCATCCTCCAATTTTGACCGCCTTCCAACTGAAAAAATTAGACACCTGTCAATGTAAACTTGAAAATCTGATCGTCTTCTGGAAGAAGTGATGCACTGTAAGACTCCTTACGACACAACCTGCATCTTCTGTAGACCCACTTGTCATGAGCTGTGCACAGAATGAAGTTGGCCTGAACTCCTCTCCCACGTACACTACAGGGGAATGCCCCCGACTCCTTCACCTCGTCCTTGTTATTGCCCCCCCCCCCCCCACACCATACTGTATATATTAACATTTTTTTTATTATTTAAAGTGAACGAGCGGAATAATTGTTTGTTTTAGTGGAACTTAACTTACATCAGTCTAGCAGCTTTAATCACTAAAAAAATCACTAGATTAGAAGGGAGTAAGATGTCTACTCTAACGTCTCAAAAATGTCTAAAGTGTAATTTTTTTAATAACCCAAAAAACTAGCTTGTGGCTACTTTCGCGGTGTCGCCCAGCTTTTGAAAGCTGAAAAATAAACTTCATGACGTCTTTGATCGTCTTTGTTGCAGGTCACATATTTTAGTTGTTTGATGTTTTTGTAATATTCAGTTATTTCGATGAAAAGCTTGACGTTATGGTGACAGGACACAGTCAAATATTTTACACGAAACTCAGCAATCGGCATTCTCTTATTAAAGGCCCCTTTAAACTGGACGGCGCCCTTTCTGCATCTCTTGGTACGGCCCCATTTTAGAGTGAAATATATAAACATTAACGTGCTGACAACTGGCCGATTATTGAGCATTCATTCTGCAGCTAAAGCGATGTTTGTAGCCTACCTCCTTTCTACGATCACAGTGATGTCAGTTTCATGATCGCAGAAAGGACGCCGTCCAGTGTAAAGGGGGGTTTAGAAAGATATTTCAAAAATCTTCGTTACCTGGCATTGTGAAAAATATACTTGAAGTTGGGGACAAAATGAATCAGTAAAATATATGTGTACAAAAAAAAAAAAAAAAAAA